GTTTTGCTCAGAAAAGCCCCCAAAATTCTTCCTTTAAGTCTGCTGTTGGAAATGCCCAGCCCCGGGGCTGAGGCATTGTCTGGGGGTGAGTGGGTGGACAGCAAAAAAACAAAAAGTGGAAGTAGCTGCGCAGCGACTTTCCTCCCTCCGAGACGTCACTGAGCCAACCCCCGAGGAAAAAAACAGGCGCTCGGCACCCGCCGGGGCAGAGCCCGGCACCGCACTCACCCTGCTGCCACGGAGGATGCTGAGCTGCCATGGGCCCCTCTGCCACTGCCCTGGCGCTGTGCCTGGCACTGCTCCTCGCCCCGCACACACACGGTGAGTCTCTTGTCTGTGCTCTGCCGGTTCTCATCTCCCCGCTCATCTCCGTGGCTCCGGGTGGGCTGCTCAGCCCAGGGCGGGGGAGGCAGGCAGGGAGCAGGTTGGAGCCACAGCTTGGACACCATCACTGGGTGCTCAGACCGGCGCTTTGGAGCGAGACACGGCCAGGGCTCCCTGCTTGCCGCTTGCCTTTTGTTGCTGGTTGGGAGCCCGAAGGCTCTTGAGTCCCCAGCCTCGCTTGTCCCCAGCGCTGTGATCACAGGCGAGGTGCCACAGCCACTGCTGGGCTCGGCGGCTGCCAGGGAAACCCACACGGGAGGGTGGCAGATGTTATCGAGCCGAGGCTTTGCTGCCAGGTGACAGGACTGAAATCGGGCAGGAGGTGTGAAAACAGTCTGTTTCATCCAGGCAGCAGATGAGCAAAACAGGAAAGCGGAATACAAACACAGCTGCAGAAAGCTGAGTCCGGACAGAGCCCCCACGGCCAATGGCAGGGGCTTGGGGATGCAAACACAGCTCCTTGCTTGGGGCAGGAAAGCACGGGGAACCCCCTGGCTGGGCTGAGCTGGGCTCTGCCCAAAGAGAGAGGAAGGGGAAGATGGGGATGAGCAAACGCTGAAACCCGGACAAAGAATTCCGGGGAAATCCTTACACATTTCGAGTGGTCAGCGCTAAACGTGGGGTGACGCTCCAGGAGGCCATCCCAAGGGCCCTGCCCAGCTCCCGTGGGCACAGGTGGGACGGGGGGGCTGTGCAGCCTCACCCAACGCCCACCGTGGGTCCCGCAGGTGAGGGGCTGGCGAGCCCCCGGCGCGTGCGCTTCGCCGCCGAGACCACGTGGCACGTGCTGCGCTGGGAGCCGGGACACGGCCACCCCAGGGACGTCTGCTACGACGTGGAGTACAAAGTGTGAGTGCAGCCGTGGGGGCTGAGCCCTGCCTGCCCTCCGACCCCAACGGCGGGGACAGCTGAGTCCCTGCTGCCCGCACGGCTCTCACCGCCGGTGCTTGTCCCCGCAGCTACGGCACCAAAATCCCCTGGACGGCCGTCCCAGAGTGCACCAAGTCCTCAGGGCAATCCTGCGACCTCACTTTCTACACCCTGGATCCCGACAGGCGCTACTACGCCCGGGTCAGGGCCGTGTCCGGGAACCACACGTCCTCCTGGCAGAGGACCAACGCCTTCTCCCCACAGGATGGTAGGTTGGGGTCTGCCTTCACCTCGGCCGGGGGCAGGAGGCTCTGAGGATGGTGAGGTCAGGGTGCCAAACCTCTTGGGAAGAACCGTGGGATGAATGAGAGCAGGCATAAATCCCTCCATACCTTTCTGGAGGGCAGGCAGGCTGCAGGATAGGATGGGACAAAGCGAGGATGGGTGGCACCGGCTGCGAGGGACGGTCACAGCTCAGTCCAGTGCCGCAAGCAGGACACGGCCCTAATGTGCTCTTCTGACTGACTTGCCTCCAGCCAGCCTGCGCCTGTCGGGCCAGAGCCTCTCCGTGAGGGGCAACACCATCCACGTGCAGCTGCAGCTGCTCTTCCGGAGTGGGAAGGTCACCGTGAGGTACGAGGACATCCACAAGGGCATGAGGCAGTACTGGGTGTATGTCAGGAAGACGCAGGACAACCAGACGGTGAGATGAGCTGCTGCTCCCGTGCTCTCCCCATCTGTCCCACACGGTGCTGCTCGGGTGGAAAAAACCACGTTATTAAAACACAGTCTTCCGTAAAACTAAATGCTTTCTCAGAGCCACGACACCGCAGAGAGGTTTCTCTGCGTGTTTCATTGCAGCAGCTTCCCCGGCTCTCGGGATTGTGGGCCCAGCTGCCATCAGCTGGGGAGGGGAGATGTCCCATTACCAGGGGACAGGGGAGGAGGGGGGAAGAAAGAGGGGGAACCAGCCCTGCTGCAGGAGCTGGGGGCTCTCAGGTACCAGCCTGGGCTCTCCTTGTTGCAGTTTGAAGTGGTGGAGGACAGGGCAGAGTTCACCCTCAGGGACCTGCTCTGGGGCACCGAGTACTGCCTGAGCGTGGAGCCCAGCGTGACCAACCGGCGCGTCCGCGCCATGCGCACCGACGAGCAGTGTGTCACCACCAACCAGAGAGACAGTGAGTGGGGAGCCAGGGAAGGGAGGGATGCAGACCCTCCTCAGCCTCCTGGCACTGGGGATGTGGCGGAGTCCACGCCAGGACAGCCGCTCTGTGCCCTTTGGACGCTGCCTGTCCCCCTCACCTGGTCACGTCCTCTCTTGCAGGGACTGTGGAGCTTCTCCCGAGCATCCTCAGCCCCTGCTTCGTTGTGCTGTTGGGGATCCTGGGGGCTCTGCTGGTGCACACCTATGTAAAGAAACCCGTGAGGACACCGTCTGTCCTGGTAAGGCACCTTTTCTGGCTGGCACGGAGTGGCAGGCGCAGGCTTGGGGAGTGCTGGGAGCAGCCAGCAACAAGAGGGACAAAGCCCGGCTCACTCCCTTCTTTCTCTCCCTCTCAGAAGTCCTTCATGAAGCAGAGCTCACTCTGGGTGGAGCACGAGCCCCCGTCCTCGGGTAGCCCGGACACAGACCCCATCCAGCAGCTGTTCCTGTGCCAGAAGGAGCCCCAGCTGGACAGCAGCACTAGCACAGCCCAGGTGCCCCTGGAGCAGGGCTGGAGGCTCCCAGTGCGGCCTGAGGACCGGCTGTGCCTGCTGGGACCCGCGGGAAGCAGAGACAACAGCGGCAGCAGCACCGACAGCGGCATCTGCCTGCACATCCCCTCCTCCTCCTCCCCCGGACTGAGCTGCTCCGCCCGCCCCGAGCCCCAGGGCTACAGGCGACAGCTGCCCACTGGCGACGACAGCGGTGTGGGCTTGGAGAGCCCCTGCCCTGGTCCCACGTGCTCCTCCAGCAGCGGGAACAGCAGCCAAGGGGAGCCAGAGCTCTGCCCTGGCACCGGCCAGGAGGCCGTGGAGTTCCGCGGGTACCTGCAGCAGAGCAGGGGCACGGTGGAGCCTGAGCAGGACCTGGCCAAGGGAATGCCCCTGTCGGGCTGTGAAGGGCCTGGGCAGGGCACTGACCTCGTGCTGGATGTTGAGTGCTCCGAGCTGGCTGTGTCCAAAGGGTATTTGAAGCAGTCCTCTCCAGAGCATCCCCGTGGCCACATGCAGGACTTCGCTCCATGGGGAGCCCCTTCCTTGGACTTTTCCAGCCAGGCGGGACCCCCAGCCCCCACTCTGCTGAGCTGGGGGGCTCCAAGTGCTCCCTTGGTCTCCAAAGCTTGCCCTGAGCTCCTGAAAGCTCCCTTCGACCTGAGCATCTTCAACACTGACATCCTGGGGACGCTGCCCCTCACCTCCAGCCTCAGCACGGACTGGCTCACGCTGCCAGGGAACCCCCTGAGCCTGCTCAGTGGGGACAGCAAGGACAGCCGCCTGTGAGCCGTGCCCAGGCCGGGGAGCGGGTGCTGCCAGCCCTGCACACTGACACAACTACCTCTTCTACCTGCTGCCCGTGGGGAGCAGCCACTCAATAAGCTACTGCCACCCCTGAATGTTAACGCATCAAACCAAGTGGTGCTGGGCTGAGACACGTCCCTGGAGCACCTGCTCAGCTACTGCTGGGGCTGCTTTGGCCCCAGGACTGTGTGTCCCTCCAGCTGGTCTCTGGTGTACCCTCACGAGAGACAGGGATGGACTGCGCTGGAGGGGCTCACCCAGCTCAAGGATACGCACCAGGATGTTTCCCAAGGATGATCCTGTCTTGTCTGCCCTCCTCAGCTGCCCAGCCTGAGGCACAGGGCCACCCTTGGGGCTGGGGCCAGCTCTGTGCTTCCACTTCCCCCTTTCTCTGGCCAGCACTGGGCTCCTCCAGCTGACGTCCACAGCTCCGGTGACGTCCTCCGATGACATCCAGACCTTTCACAACACAGACACTGGGAGCAGAGGGCAGCCTGACATCAGCCACCCTCCTGCTGGAGCACGGGGCTCCCTCCCTGGCTGACCTCACATGGAGGGAGCGAGGGACTGTCCTGACCCCACAGAGACCCTCTGGCAGAGCCTCGGAGTGCTGGCTGTCTCATGGGTTACGGGATACACGATGAGCCCTCCTTAACACTATGGGCTGTGTTCTGCCCCTGCTGTATACAGACATTATTTATTCTATTTAATTTGTAAATACAAAGGATGTGGTGTTATTTATTTGGGCTGTTTGTCTGTTCATCCTCTCCTAAGCTCAAGCTGTGCTTTCCGTTTTCACCTACGGACATTCCCCAGCAGCAAAGGGCAACGTGCCTTTGCCTCACGTGGGGAAGAGCATTTCCAGCACATCACAGCTGCAGAAAGGAGAACCAAGGCAGATCACTGAGAGCTTCTCACGCACCTGAGGACCAGGGTGGTTGTCCCAGGGCAGTGTTGTGGGATCAGTCACCAGAGGAGCAGCGGGGAAAAGGAGCTGAACTGCTCATCATGATTCCACAGGGATGGGATGGGACAGCAGGGAATACACAGGGATTCCGTGGGACAGCACCAGGGAAGGACAGGAGAACCTCAGGGCAGAGCAGAACAAATCAAACCCAGGGGTTGGGAAAACCAGGAAAGACTGAATATGGCATTTAGTGCCACGGGCTTGTTGACATGGTGGTGTTTGGTCATAGGTTAGATTGATGACCTCAGAGGTCTTTTCCAACCTGATTGATTCTGTGATTCTGTGAATAGTTACTGTCAGAATGGAAACAGAAAGAGATGGAACAACTCACCGTGGGCTACACACTTGACTGCTGCCAGATTACAGGAAGTTTTTCCAAGAGTCACATAGTTTCCAAGAACCTTCACGGTGGGATAGTCCCATTAAAAGTGCTGGTGGAAACCCTCCTCGGGGAATATGTTTTTCAGGTGAAAGCATGAGTCACTGCAGGCAGGAGAAGGGCGCTGATCATTGCCAGGTTGCCTTTTGTTACACCTGATGTTGCACTGCTCACACGTGAGGTCAGTGCCTGCATCCCGCGGGGGCCCGGCCGTGGAGGGCACTGGGCACCTCCTCCTGCCCCTCCACTGGCCCCAGCCCTTCTGCCTCTGTGTATTTTGGGGGCTGGAGCTTTTTGCTTTCTTTTTTTTTTTTCGACTTCCTCTGGAAAACGGAGTCATCAAAACTAAGCATGATTTTTTTTTAGTTTTTCTTTTAAGTGCCGCTGACGTCAAAGCTCCGCGGGCGGATCCTGCGCTGTGCTGAGCCCTGGCAGTTCCTGCCCACCACCAAGGGCTCCAGCTGCCAGCACTCGGGGCAACACGAGCAGCCAGAGCTCTCCTTTCAACCAAACCCAGGAGTTTGCCACAAAGCTGCAGGCCACAGGGCTTGGCTTCGGTAGCCAGGAGTGCTGATAGTCCCTCTGACTGCCTGGAAATCCCACTCTGTCCTCACTGGTTTCCCTGCACACAGTCACGAGTTTCTCTTTATTTTCCTTCTGAAGAAAGTTTGTATAGAAATGGTCCCTTTCTGTGGCCACAGCACCTTCCCCATGGCTGCTCTCATGCTCTGGGCACTTCCACAGCCACTTGCTCTGCTGAGACTGAAGGCAGTCAGTACGAAAAAATCAGGACAAACCTCACAGGGGCCTTCTGAGGTGTTTGCTTGCACTGTTGGTGCAGGGGGCAAACTCCCACATTGGTCCAGATACTGGAGCGAGGAGGGGGCCTGGAGCAGATTTCCCATTTCTTCACAGCATTTTCCACAGTTGCACAAACCCAGCCACCCAGTTCTGGGGCTCCTGGCTGTCCTCCTTAGCTGGTGCCCTGCACTCACAGTCCCAGGTCTCCTGGGCATGCAGGTGGCTGGTCCCGAGGACTGGAGGGTCTCTGAGCCGTGGGGAGAGTGGCTGTTTTCTCTGGGATGAGTGCTGAGGGAGCCTGGGACGAGGTCGCATCCTCTTCCTCCATCCCAAGCGAGGGGAGGCTGTGCCAGTGCCAGCCCCAGGCACCTCCTGTGCTGCCCGTGGCCAGGGAAGGACAGCAAGAGAGCTGTGGCTGGGGAGCAGATGGAGGAGCTGCCCAGGGAGAGTGTGGAGTCTCCCTCTCTGGAGACATTCAAAATCCTCCTGGATGCATTCCTGTGTCACTTCTTCCAGTGGCAGTTTGGACCAGGTGGTCCCCAGAGGTCCCTTCCAACCCCAGCTATTCTGTGATTCTGTGAAGCTTTTTTAAAAAACAGAAACTGCTACGTTACCATTTCAGTAGAAATCCAGCACCTTCAGGGGCTGTTTTTTACAGAAGTGAAAATGGAGGAGTTCCCCCCGGCCGGTTTTGGTTGCTTTTTTTGGCTGGTGCTGGGTGGTGGGTGAAAGGCAGTGAGAGGAAGCGGCGCAGGAGCACCCAGGCTCCAGCCCCAGCCCCCTTTGTCCCTCCCCACATGTTCCATCCCAGGCCAAGGACAGCGGGGAAGGAAATGCAAGCCAAAGCCTGTCCAGGGGGAATGAAAACCAGAGCCCAGGGAAAGCCCCTGTAGCCCCACAGCCACAGGATTTCTGCTGGGAAAACCTCGGGACTATCCCAGGGAAAGCTGCAATGCCCCGGGGCTACAAGGCAGCAAGGAGGCTTTGGGGCACAGCACTGTCACCCCCCTGGGCTCCTCACAGAGGCACCCAGGAGCTGTGCTGGGGGGACACGCATGGCTGGGGACCCCACACCCCTCACAGGGTGATGTCCTACCTGCTCAGCAGCCCGGCTCCCTCCTCACGGCCCCCGGGTGTGGAAGGGCTTGTAGCCACTGCCCGTGGTGCTCAGAGAGCCACTGATGCTGAACGGGGGCACCAGCTCCACTGCCACTGACCCCAGCCCGCTGTGGGGAGAGCAGAGGTGTCAGCAAGCTGCCCGTCCCCCTCCAGCCCCTGCCAGCCCGCAGGGTGGGCACTGTCCCCGTGGAGACCCCCAGAACAGCCACCCTGGGGAGGCAGTGCCTGCAAACTGCAGAACGTGGTGGATTCGGGACTGGTGAGGGTGTGTGACACCTCAGCACCCTGCACAGTGAGCAGCCAGCCCACCCCAGGCCCCCCCACGGCAACACTCACTGCGTGTGGTAGAGGTTGAAGACGAAGTCAGGCCCTGGAGAGGCAGGAGGAAGAGGAGGGAGAGGTATCAGAGCCACGTGGTGCCACAAACCCACCTTTGCTTTGCTGTGAGTCTGTGTGGCAGCACGGGGACAGGCAGGACAGGCAGTGGGACAGCAGCAGGACATCAGGGTGCATCCCCCTCCTCGCCTCTGCGTGTCCCCAGCTCGCCCCAGAGCCCCTGCACAGAGGTTTCCCAGGGGCCAGCAAAGGTCGGGGGTGCTCCCCAGACCCTGCAGCCCTGTCCTTTGAGCCCTCCCTGCCCTGTCACCACCTGTCCCCGTGCCCTGCCCTCACTCACGGTGCCAGCACCAGCCCCTCTGGTACCACCGGATGAAGGTGTAGCCAAAAACCACCAGGATCAGCAAGGCCAGCCCGATGCCCAGCACAGCCCCGATCACGTTGGTGGGCTCTTGCCCTGCAAAGCAGAGGGAGAAGGGGCTCTGCAGACAAAAACACCTCTGGAAGGCTGGGAGTTCTGATCATCCCCTGGGGGGACAGGATGGCTGGGATATGACCTTCCACCCTGCGCTGTCCCTACAGTGGGGAAGGGTTACACACCACGAGGCTGTTGAGTGCTGTGGCACAGAGATTTTTGCCACCCCCAAAGCTCTGGGTTGGAGACTTGGTCACACAGCCACCACCTCTGCTGTCCCCAGGCGGGCTGGCAGGAGGGATGGTGACTGGGGAGGGAGCTGGCCACCCTGACCACGCTGTATCCCCACTTCTGGTCCCACTCACACCCTCGTGGGGTGAAGCACCTCGTCCAGCTGCCCCGGGAGCCATCCATCGCTGCAGCCAGCCCTGCACAGCCAGGCAGACCCATTTCTGGGCTGGCAGTTCCCTCTAGAGGATGCACTTGTCAGGGCGAGCAGCCTCGGGCTGCCAGCACCGGATTGGGACGGGACACGGCAGGGGCTGTGCAGGGACACGGCAGGGGCTGTGCAGGACCACTGTGGGGCTCTACACCACTCCATCCCTCCCATCCATGTCACAGGGGCTGGTGAAGTCCAGCACCAGCCAACGCTCCCAGGATTGTTGAGGTGCCCAGCACAGCGGAGCCGCTGAGAATCCACTTCTCTGCTGACAGCTCTTGGGGGGGCTGTGCCCAGGAGGGCACAGGGGGTTTGGGCACGGCCCCACAGCACGGCCAGCCCCGCAGTGCAGGGCACAGGGACGGATCCTGCGCCGTGCAGAGTCTGGAGTGAGGAGGCAGCGGAAAGGGATGACCTAACAGCAGCTAAATTTAGGCAGATGCCAGCGGAGTGAGCACATTTCCCCTGTGGTCACAGTGTTTGCATAGTGAGCAAAGTCCTGGGTCATCCTGCAACCCGCAGCACTTGCTCCACCTGATGGGATCCAGCCGGGAGCCGCAGAGCCTGTGAGCACCCAGGTTCCACGGCAGGGGAGCAGGAGCACCCAGCCCTTCCCTCCCTTCCCTCAGCCCTCCTGCCTGGAGAGGGTGACACGGGCAGCCAGTGCCTCCTGCTCCTGCTGGAGCAGGCAGAGCTGGAGCCCCGGAACCCCAGGCCCCGGCAGGGGTGAGGTGAGGAGCTGCTGCAGCCGTGACTCATGTGCAGGAGCTGTGGGGCAGGAGGAACGTGCTGCAACAGCCTCCCTGAATCAGGTGGCTGCCGAAACTGCCCCGTCCCCACGCCCACTGCCAGTGGGAGGATGATGGCTTCGTGCCCAGGCCCTGCCCCGTGCCCAGTGTGGGAGGCATCCCTGCCCTGACACCCTCAGGAGCAGACATCCTCACAGACATCCTCACAGACATCCTCACAGACATCCCCCCATTCCAGAGGGGTGGCTCCGAGCAGCACTGCTGGAGGCAGAGCCACCACGGCAGGTGAGGCTCTGCCCCAGCTCCCAGACAGCAGAGGGGAGGAAGGTCACCAAAACACTGCCCATGCCATGAACCATCCCATCCCTGCCCCGTGAGGGGGGACAAAGGCCATCACTCACCTCTCCGGGGGTCCATCTCCCGGTGACATGCAGGAGCTGCTCACGGCTGTCCTGGGCTGGAGCTGCTGCAGCAGAGCCCTGTGTGTGCTGGAGCCTGGCACGTCCTGCCCGTGCCCTCCTCTCCCGGTGACACAGCTGCCTCACCACCTCCACTGCAGCGAGGCCAGGCACCAGTCCTCGCCCACTGGTCCAACTGGTTCCTGGGGAGAAAGCAGAGGAGCTGCAGCAGACACAGCAGACGGCACATCCCGGTGCCCAGCCCAACCTCCCCACCCTCTGGGGTGGGCACGATGCCCACCTGTGTGGGCAGCTCTGCCCTCCCACTGCTGGAAGAGGCTGAACTGGGAGCACTGGGAACCTGAGGGACAAGGACACCCTGCACACAGTGCTGGCAAGGTGCCTGAGTGGCCGTGTCCTTTGGCAACTTCCTGGCAAAGACCAGCAGCAAAGAGGGCCACAGGGGCTTGGGCATTTGGGGATGCCCACAAAGGTTATGGTCCCTGCAGGACCCTGCCCCCCATCAGACATCTCCCGAGATGATGCACTTACAGCCCTATGAGATCATCTCCTCGAAGTCCCGAACCACAGGGTCAGGTGGGAAATCAACTCCTGCTCGTGGAAAGAGGGAAAAACCACCTCCCGTGGCTGCAGGGAGAAGTGACAAACAGGGACAACCATTAACAGTTGGAAGCTAGGCATCCAGGGGCAGAATTCCTTCCCGGTTTGTGCCACCTTGCCTGGCCCAGCCTCTACCATACCCCAATGCCAGCGGCACAGGGTGCCAGGGCAGGGCCAAGCCCCCCAGCAGCCTTCCCCAGGGTGAGCATCTCAGTGCCAAGAGCAGGGGCGATGCCTGAGACCTGCAGGGATGCGGAGCCAGCGGGATTTAGAGGGGACAATGGGCATTGCAGACCCCCAGGTCCTGGCAGTGCCCAGCTCACACGGAGAGGCTGTGACCACTCCTTGCCAGACAGGAGAGGACTGGGATGAGGTGTGTACATGTGTGGCTCAGGGACACTGCTGGACACACAGAGCCCTGGGCCAGCCCTGCCTGACCCCTGCCTGACCCCAACAGAGCCAGGATGCCCGGAAACCTGTGTCATGCCGGGGCTCTGGGTGCAGGAGGCCGGGGAAGGGCTGGAAATGCAGCCGCACTCCAGGAAGCAAAGCCCCGAAGGCGCGCGGGGCTGTGACATAACATCTGCAAACCTCAGCTGCTTCCTCAAAGCCCTGCTAACCTCAAAGGAGGAAGGGCCGCTCCTGCCATGCCACCTCCCTCCCCACGGAGGCTCCCAGGCTGGTCTCCCTTCCAGGGCAGCGGGGCTGGCACTGGGATGCTCTGGGAAGGCTGTCAGGGCCCACCGTGCCACACCAGGGACCTAAGCTCTGCCCAGCTGCCCACTGCTGCAGCCCCTAAACCGGGGGGTTTTCAAGCTGAAATCTCCCACAGCAGCACAGGCACCCTCCAGCTGGACCTGCCAGTGCCACTGCCCACCCTCCATCCCACAATCTCTGAGAATCACATGGACCATGGGGACGGGAGCTGTGGGCACAGCCAGCCGAGATCCCCACACCTCCTGAGGGGGCTGGATCCCCAGCGTGAGTGTGGGGAGGGTGCCCCTTACCTCAGAGCCACACGTGGATTCCAGGATCCCTGGTCAGGCCACTGGAGCAGGCAGGGTCCCTGCTGGGACAGGGACGAGTTGGGACAGCGATGGCACAGCGATGGCACAGCAATGGCACAGCTCCCTGTCTGAGGAGCTGCAGGTCCAGGGCTCTCTGCAGCCTCCCACTGGCACAGCACACACACCTGGCAGCAGCAGCTCTCCTGACCCTGTGGAAAGCTGGATTAGCAAAGGAGAGGGTAATTAGCTGCACAGCAAACCCCACACACCCATCACTTCCAGCGGGAGCGCGCAGGAGGGCAGGCAGCCCACAGCCTCCCCGACCCCAGCCCAGCCCCTGGGACACCTTCAGCCAGCTGGGGCAAGCAGCTCCTGCACACCTAAACCTCCATCCCATCCTGCCAGGCTAAACCAAGCCTCTCCATCCCAGAGGGATTGATTATTCCCAGATGTTTAGCCCAGCTTTACATCAGACACATGCACGGCTCCACCAGCACCCCCAGCACCTTCCCGCAGGCAGAGCACTTCCCAAAACAGGGCTGAGGGCTGTGACAGCCCCTCTCCCACACACCCCTGCCAGCCCTAGCTCATGCCACACCAACGCCCAAACAGGCCAGCTGCTCTGCAAAGAGATGGGGGCTGCAAGAGGAGGGCACGGCCACCCCTGAGCACGCCCTGCTGTCTCCCCCTTGCAGCCTCAGGATAAACTTCCACGGGCACCCACTTTTTTCACCTTTAACTCCCCCCCAGCACCGCCGGGAGCAGCTGCCAGCCGTGACCTGGGGCTGCACAGGGACACACAGACCGAGTGACCCGAGAGCCAGGTAACCTCGTGCACAAACTCTCCTCCTTTCCTCCTCCACCTACCAAAACCTCGGCGTAAAAACAACCCCGCGCAACGCGGAAGAGCCGGACTAAGAGCGGGGTGGCCGTGGATGCCCTTATCATCAGGAGGAGCAGGAAAAATCAGTCAGTTCACTTCTGATAAGCTATTTGGTGACAGCAGCCCCGCAGGTGAGTCACCCCCCCCGGTGGCAGATGCTCAGGAGATTACGGCAGGTGATGGTGCTGCTGATAGACCGGTGTTGTATTACAATACAAACCAGAATTCCTGTTTCACAACTCCCCTTGTGGGTTTTAAGGAGTGCTGGGGCGGTCCTGCCCCAGTGTGAGCGCAGGGCGGGCACAGAGAGCAGGCACAGGGGTGCGGGAGCATCGCCGGCCCCGGCTCCCGGACATCGGGGCACCCGCAGCCTGCCCGTGCCCCGCACTGGAGGGTATTCTGTGATTCTCTGCTGTTGGCCGGGTTTCTGCAGGCAGAAGGACCACGCTGGAGCTGGATGAACATGGTGAGTCGCCGACAGCTCTGCCCCCAGCCCCTGGCTCCCCGCACACCCCGTGTCCCCCCGCACTCCCAGCCTGGCACTGCCAGGAGCGATTCGCCGGTGAAGGGGCAGCCCAAACTCAAAGAGTTGCAGCTCTCCAGCATCCAGGCAGGGCAGGGTTTTACCTGCATCTCTCAACACCCCACTGTGGCTGGTAGATATGGTCCCTGAGCTCTCACTCCCATGTTTCTCTGGCTTGCCTCGGCCCTCTCGCAGCCCGGGAAGCAGACAAGCAAGGCAGCGTGTCTTGCAGCCTTCGTGACAAGGGGAATGTGCCCTTCTGGAGTCTCATCCCTCCCGAGAGGGTTCTGGTTCTTGGGCACCACCTGGGTGAGAGCCAGGCCCCCCCTGTCCTGCAGTGCAGCTCCCGCTGTGGGACTGCAGGTCCCTCTGTTTGGGGACACTCTCCTTGCCTGCAGTGCCCTTTGCCAGCAAAGCCACGGCCACCAAACCCCAGCCTGGCATGCAGTCCCTCCCTAGGAGGGAAAGGCTTCCGTAAGAGGGCAGACAGGTACAACCCACCTCGCTGGGCACCGTAAAACCCTCCGCCAGCGACACACCAGGACATCATCCCCTCCAGGGTGGGGAGCTCACCCCCTGCACGGCAGCAACAGCTACACACACCCACGGGTTAAATCCCCGCAGCCAAGGAGTCAGCCTCGGGATCCAATCACCCTGGGAAGCCTGGTTTTGTGAAGGAACATCCCACCTGCTCCTGAGGGAGGGAAGAAGCACAGCTCAGCACACCCTGCAACCCCCGGATGGTGTGGGAGAGGAGGTTCAGCAGAACTCCACGGCTCCTGGGCTGGCATTTGCACAGCACAAAATGGCCATAGTTACATTAAGTGCTTTGAGAGAACACGGCAATGGAGCTCAATTAGTTACGGTAGCCTTGGGTTCTCCAGGAAATCATGTGCCTCCACTCCACGCAGGAGTGGGCACAGCTCTCGCCTTGCTTTGGATTTAACCAGTGCAGCTCTTGCCCGTAGTGTGGGTTTGAGAAGAGTCATGGAGAGGCAGCTCTGGGCAGCTCCAAGATGTGAAACCCTTTGAAACAGAGGAGGTTTGTGGACTGAAGAAAATGCAAAAAAAAAAAAAAGTAAAAAATCAATAATCTCTTATCCCACCTGCATCTGTCCCAGACCTGCACAGGTGTCTTGGAAAGGAGCCTGGATGACGTGATGGGGACAAGTATGGGCAGCTTGGGGACAGGCAGGGGCAGCACTGCCAGTTCAGTGTCCTCCAGCTGTGGAGGATCCATCGTGGCCTGGGACCGTTCCCAGTGGGAACCGTTAGGAATCCATTATCCAGGTCATGCCCAGCCCGGGCCCAGGGTGACACAGGAGGTCAGCATGAGGAAGGACCGGCCCCACATGCCCTGGGCTGGCTGCACTGCAGGGTGCATGTGCAGCATCACAGAACCCCCAGGGCTCCTGCGGGCACCAGGGGCTGCAGAGAAGCGGCTCTGGAAGGTGCAGGATGCACTTTCCCCTTCCCACCCTGCACTCCTACTCCCTGCCACCAGGAGCCAGGCTCTGCACCCCAGGGAGCTGATCAGAGCCCATCCAGGGGTGGGGAATTGGGTACAACCTTCCCACACCTGGCACAGGTGCCAGCTGAGCTCAGCTGTTTGGAGAAAAGCCACTGGCATTTCCTCAAAGGAGCCAGGCATTGGCATGCTGGGGCACGGCCACATGCCCACAGCACCAGGAAGGATCCTCACCCGCAAAGTCACTTCTTGTTCCCAAAACTGGCAGCCCAAGCCACGGAGCAGGGACATGATGGGGAGGCAACATGTCGTGGCTGAGCGAGGGGCAGCGAGCCAAGGAGCAGCCCATGAACCCGAGCTGACTCTGTGGGTGAGCCCAGCAACAATGGCTTGGCACTCGCCTGCTGGCACAATCCTGCTGGCAGGTGGGGTGTGCAGGGCTGAACGTGCCCCGCTGCAGTGACCCAGGGAGGGAGGGCTCACCTCTCCTCTAACCTGTCCCAGGCTGGAGGACAGACCCTCACCCACGTGCCCAGTCCCACTGTAATGCTCTTCTAAGTCCCAGCCTCCAAGCCCTGAGATGGCACAGGGAGCAAAGGCTTCCAAACCCCAAACCCTCCTGGATCTGCAGATTTATCACAGCAGGTTTAATCTTCCTTACCTCTGTCCATGCAAAAATCTTCTCTTACCTCTCGTGGCAGAGTCCAGAAGCAACAGCAAAGGCCAAGAGCTCACTGGGGCTGGCCGGGCATGGAAGGGACCAGCCTCAGCAGAGCAGGAAAACCATTCCACACGCTGCTGCTCAATGGCACGGCACCAACGCTGCTGCAAAACAGGGCAACAGGCACACGCTGTGCCCACCTGACCCCCCCCAAAGGGGCTCTGGGCTTTGCCCAGCACCAACCCTCTCCCTGAGGGCAGGGTCACTGCAGCTCACAGGACCTGCCCTCCTGCAGCCGGGCAGTTTTCCCACGAGAAGCTGGTGCAGGGGGGTATTTGTGAGGAGATCAAGCGGATCAATGCCTGATTCATCACGGCTCCAGCCCCGGCTGTGTTTACTGCGTGTCCTAGCAGCGGCACAGCCTGCACTCCCTCCCTCCCCGCCCTGGGAGCGCTGGCTCCCGGGGGCTGGTTCCACTGGTGCTC